GGAGCCGCAGCCCCACAGCCGGGGCGGCCGCGGGGCAAGGCCCAGACCCACAGCCCCGCCTCACCTGCAGGAAGGACCTGCCATCGGTCGCGTTGAAGGGGTCCAGGGGCTGCTGAGGCCACCCCGCCTTGGGGAGGACCGGCGCGCCCAGGCCAGGGCCTGGGTCCGGGCTCGAGCGCTCCTGGAACTGCTGCACGTGCTGGCCCAGGCGCCGGAGGAGGAAGGCTGCAAGGCGGAGGCAGGGTCAGGCCAGCCTGGGGCCCCGCTTTCCCGCCACCCTGCCACCCTGAGCCGCGCCTACGCGAAGCCGAGAGCCCCCACAGCGACACCAGGAGAAGGGGACTCAGCCGGCAGCCGGGCCCCGCGGCCATGCTTTCGGCGCTCACTGCTCCGCTGCTGCGCTCCGAGATCTCGACCGGCGCAGGGGCCGGGCATTAAATCCGTGCTCCTTCGGGATGCTCGGGCTGCTTCCCGACGCGCTCCAGCAGGTCAGGCGTCGGCGGGAACCGCTGACGCGGGGAGGGGACGCTAGAAGGAGGCCTCGGCCCCTTCGGCGCCTCGGATGTTCCCGCTCTCCTCCCACTTCCCTCCCGCCCGGTCTCCCCGCCCCTCTGCCCGGTAGCCGCGCGGCCCTGCGCTCTCGGTCTCCTCCGGAGGGCACAGGCCCGGCGCCTGGCTGCCCAGCGCTGCGTCTCGCCATCCCCCCCACACCCAGGCCTTCCCTCGCAGGTTTCTGCCTTGCTTGCTGTGCCCCGTGATGCCAGCCGGGGTTGTCACGCAGTGAAAGCAAACGGACTCTGCCACTTCTCTGGTGTGCGATTGTGTCGGCCCTGGGGCTCTGCACTGCACACTCGTCTAACCTGGGGTGATTCCAGCTCGTGGGTATCGATTATCCCAAACTCCCCAGCGTCGCCATGCTTCATCATCACAGCTAGAAACCGGACAGCGGCTTTGGAGCAAGGACCCGAGCATCCGCAGCTCAGCTGGTTCACGGGCACCACAGGGCCACAGGCTGAAGAGAACCCCCTCCAGACCCAGAGTCACTAATCTGCTTTCTCTCCATGAGTCTGCACTTTAAAAACCTTTCAGATAAAAAGGATCTTATGTCTGGCTTTACTCAGCCAGGTTCATTCATAAAGTGGCAGATATCATCGGTACTTCATTAATTTTTATGGCTGAATAATGCTCCATTACATGGATATGCTGTTTATTTATCTGTTAAGCAATTGATGGACATTTGAGGTATTTCCACTTTTTGCTACTATGAATAATGTTAATATAACATTTGTGCACAAGTATTTGTGAAGAGCTATGCTTCCATTCCTCTTGGGTGCTGTAGAATTGCTGGATTATATATAAAACTTATATTTTGTTTTTAAAGGAACCACTGAGCTGCTTTCCACAGTGAAGGTAACATTTGTACATGGAGTTTTCAGACTCTGGGACCAGAAACGAATAGGCAGGAAGGACTTGACTCCAAGCCTGGATCGCTCGAAAGTGAGACCAAGAGAGGCCAGCAAAAATCGCCCAGTGGCTGGGAGTCGGAGATGGCCAGACTGCCCTTCAGGTGCGGGCGGGCTTTCTCCGCCCGGCAGTGCCCACGGCTGGGCTCTGAGCTCGGCAGCTCAGGCTCGCCAGAGGCTGGACTGCAGGCTGGAAAAAGCCCAAGTGTCCTCTGTCAAGTCCGTAAGAATGATGAAAACTAAAGCATGTGTTTGAACTGAAAATGTCTCATTGTTTTTATGAAGGCACGGGGAGTGGAAAGGCCTTCTCTTGTCTACGATCATACACAGAAAGAACAACGCTGGTGCACCTGAAGGAAGCAGAGAATGCGGCGTGGGATCATGTAGCTCAGTTGCACTGGCTCCCCAGGGACCTGTGTGCTGGAAGGCAGGTTCTCCCCATGGCTTAGGAGTGCCCAGCTAGCTCCCGCATGTGCAGGGTGCTCAGTAGGGTTCCGCTCCCAGGCGAATCTAATGCTGATGGTCTGAGCGGAGGGGTGCTCAGGTGGACGGTGCAGAGCGTGGAGTGGCTGGAAGTACAGATGAAACCCCGCAGGCTGACGCCCCACCACCACCACCTGGGTGTGACCGGGTTCCTCACAGGCCAGGGACTGGTGGTCTGGGCAGGGGATGGAGCCCCAGACTAAGGTGTCCTAAGCACCTCCAGGCTGTAGATTTGCCTCCGCTATGCATGCATTCTCAGTGCTATGTTTTATTATTATTTATTTTTTACTAAGAAAGTGAGTTGCCTTTTTAAAAAATCATTATTTCATTTTAAATTTTGCTACAGGGCACGTGTACTCAACAGAGTGAAACAGAGAGAGAAAGAAAGCACTAGGCCCAGGACCAGACCACGGTCCACCATGAGGAAGGCCAGCGCCTTAACCACACAGACCTGCTGACCTCTAGTGCTTTCTGTGCCTCTCAGCTGTGCAGAGTGGGGTCCTCTGTCAGTCTTAGCTGTAAAGCAGAGAGTATTTCCGATGGTCCAGGAAGCTTTAAATCCATTTCCCAGGCTGTCCCTCTCCCCCAGTCTCTGCCAGCAGATCCCTGAACACCTGCGAGCAGGGTGCCAGTGTGCGTTGGGGACTGCAGTCCATCTGAAACCATTCAGAACTTGCTTGGAATGAAGAGCCCCTTCTGATGTGTGTGTGTGAATTGCCAGGAGGGTTGGTCTTTCTCCCAGCCCCCGCATTGCTGCGAAGTCTGGGGTCCCACCTTGACAGGGAAGGGAGGCTCCTCTGTGTAAAGTGACACTGCCCACCTCCTTCTCCTTCTCGGCTCGGGCTCTGAGGACGGAAAGCCAGGTAAGCGGCAGGAAGACCCCTGCACACCTTGCCCGCGTTGAAGTGGACGCCGAGCACCCTGCTGCCCTGCATCGACACCGCGCGCGGAGGGACCGGGCTGAGTGCAGGCGGGCGCAGGCGCCCAGGCCGCCCAGGCAGGTCCCTCCTTCGTGTTGGAGAGGCCGCCGTGCGTCCGCCCGGACCGCCTGCACCGCTACTCCGCCAACCCGAGCGGTGGCACGTCCAGGCCCATTTGCACGTGCAGCTCGGAACCTCCAGCTTCTCCAGATCCTTCCTGAACCCGGGGACCTTCCCAAGTCATTCTTCCGTGAATGTTTCTCTGATTGTTCGGGAAGAGCCGAAGAATTTGAGAGCCTTGTTTCCCACCAGAGGCGCGAAGTTTCTGTCCGAAGTGGAGTTCTCGCCTTGCGGTCCCTCTCGGGAACGCGGGAAGCGGAAATGGAAAACATGAGACTAGCGCTTTGTCGTAGCTTAAGTGACCTAAACGAAAACACGTTCTTTGGGAAAAAAAGGAAAAACCTTTCCCTTTGAGAAAGCACACGAATGACAAACTTCGCAGTTTTTAAAAATTAATTGTTGAGACACAACGAAAGCAGTTGGCCGGTTAGCTCAGTTGGTTAGAGCGTGGTGCTAATAACGCCAAGGTCGCGGGTTCGATCCCCGTACGGGCCACACGTGGCTTTTTAACTTTGTTGTTTGTGCGCAGTAATTCATTCGGTATCTGTGGCGGGATGGTATGACCATGGGCTGGCTGTCTTTCAAACACCTGGACGTTGTTTGCCAAGTGTGGCTAGTAGGCAGGACCCACAGTCCCGAGGTCTCCTGGCCACGGGGATTCCCTACCTGTGCTCCAACATGCCATTTGACCCCCGCCCTTAAAAAGCTGTTCTTGACTACAGAGGTTGAGTCCTCTAGTTAGGGGACACTTTTCAGGTGACTATGAAAACCTCCTGTAGAGTCACTAGACTTCCTGCCTGCTCCTCTCCCCTCTCTTCTTGAAACTCAGTGTTCAGATGTTTGACTTTGTAGAAACTTCTGGTCACGATCACCAACGACTTCAGCGTGTCTAAAATTGAGTCCTCATCTTTTTTGATTTCTGGGAGAAAGGCTCATCATCCTCAAGCGTTTCTTTATTGTCTCCAGGACACTGATCCGGTCTGGGCCTCCTCCGTCTGGCTTCCCTTTATCTCAGGGCTGCTCCTCTGTGTGTGCTCACGTCCTGGCGGTGCCATCCGTTCTTGGGGCGTAATGCCTGCTTACCCTTGCCTCATGGGTGCACCACGACGTGGGATACCGCGTTTTAATATTTTAATTGGAAGTCTTGGGCTGCAAAGAAGGGGCTGAGGTATGAGAGCAGGTTGAAATATAAGCGGACACAAGTAGAGAAGCTCTGGGGAAAAATTTACAAAAGGGAAGCATAGGCTGTTTCCGCCCGGTTTCGAACCGGGGACCTTTCGCGTGTTAGGCGAATGTGATAACCACTACACTACGGAAACTGGCTTAGAGCAAGCACTTTCCATTTCTCTGTTAGTTGAAATGACCCTCAGGTTTATCCTTCAGGATTATTTACTTTTTCATTTTCTATTTATTTATTTTGTGACCGAGGAGACCTCTTTACCCCTACACTTTGAATTCTTAGCAGCAATTTCAAAGCCCGCCAGCTGGCAGCCAGGCAAATGCCTCTCCCGAGCTTGCCCTTTCCTCCCCCGCAGCACGGGCCGCGGGACGTCTCACGTAAAGACCTCGGTGAGTTCCGCCTGGCTCCTCCGCTGAGCTCGCGGAGGACGCTCAGTCCTCTCCACGACGCGAATCGAGGACAGCGCTGGAGTGTCCCTCCTTGGCGCTGGCGGCCTGCCAGGCCCTGGGTCCCACAGCTCCTCAGCGAGACACTTTCTTGAGGTCGAAACCGACGGCGGAGGTGGTGTTCGCGCAGAGCTGTAACGGGCGTCCGCGGCCTGAGCGCGCTTGGGGAACTTCATTCCCTCGGGCCGGCAGCAGCCGTCAGCAGAGACACAGCAAATCCTACCGGCGCGGCTTCAAAGGCTCCTGGCAACGCGCACTCCGAGAAAGTGATGCCTGGCTTCCAGGCTGCCCTCTCCCTCCTGTTCACTTCTCCAGTGGCCCTCAGTGAACATACCTTGGTTTGGATGAAGCTTTCCCACTTGCAGCTTTAAAGTCTGTTTTTATGAAGTTCCTCTCTATCTACTAGGTTGTAGAGGTATCTTTCCTCCTTATGTTTCTATTCATATTTTCATCCGTCACAGACAGGAGCTTAAGCCCTCTGAGTACGTGGATTTGTGAAACGCACGTATGATTTGCTGTGGGGCGGTCCTGAATTACAGTGAGGATCCTAAACCCGCCACCCAGCTCCGAAGTGTCTGTCCTGCTCCCCTGCCTGGTGGCTTCCGGGCGCCGGGGTCTGGCCCAGCACGCAGTAGGTCCCTAGGAAAGACGCTTCTGGGGCAGCTGGAACTCTCGGGCTAAGTTCTTCCCTGGTGGACTGTCACGGGTTCGAGCTCCCTGGGTGTGCACGGACGTCCACACTCTCTCCCGCAGGAGTGAATGTTCACAGACCTGCCTGGGGCTCCGGAGGCGACGCGCTCTCCTGCACGCTGGGACCGCGGGC